CATTACTTGGCTACAGCCCTGATATACTGCAATAAGTCCATCTACATACTTGGCTATAGCCCTGATATACTGCACTAGGTGTCGATCTGCGTACTTGATTACACCCCTGATATACTGCACTAGGTTTTCATCTGCGTACTTGATTACACACCTGATATACTGCACTAGGTTTCCATCTGCGTACTTGATTACACCCCTGATATACTGCACTAGGTGTCCATCTGCGTACTTGGTTACAGCCCTGATGTACTGCACTAGGTGTCCATCTGCGTACTTGGCTACAGCCCTGATATACTGCACTAGGTGTCGATCTGCGTACTTGATTACACCCCTGATATACTGCACTAGGTTTTCATCTGCGTACTTGATTACACCCCTGATATACTGCACTAGGTGTCCATCTGCGTACTTGGTTACAGCCCTGATGTACTGCACTAGGTGTTCATCTGCGTACTTGGCTACAGCCCTGATATACTGCACTAGATGTCCATCTGCGTACTTGGCTACAGCCCTGATATACTGCACTAGGTGTCCATCTGCGTACTTGGCTACAGCCCTGATATACTGCACTAGGATTCCATCTGTATACATGGTTACATCCCTGATATACTGCACTGGGAGTCCATTACTTGGCTACAGCCCTGATATACTGCACTAGGATTCCATCTGTATACATGGTTACATCCCTGATATACTGCAATGGGAGTCCATTACTTGGCTACAGCCCTGATATACTGCACTAGGAGTCCATCTGTATACTAAGTTAAAACCCTGATATACTGCAATGGGAGTCCATTACTTGGCTACAGCTCTGATATACTGCACTAGGAGTCGATCTGTATACATGGTTACATCCCTGATATACTGCACTGGGGGTCCATTACTTGGCTACAGCCCTGATATACTGCACTAGGAGTCCATCTGTATACATGGTTACATCCCTGATATACTGCACTGGGAGTCCATTACTTGCCTACAGCCCTGATATACTGCATTAGGAGTCCATCTACATACTTGGCTACAGCCCTGATATACTGCACTAGGTGTCCATCTGCATACTTGATTACACCCCTGATATACTGCACTAGGTTTTCATCTGCGTACTTGATTACACCCCTGATATACTGCACTGGGGGTCCATTACATGGCTACAGCCCTGATATACTGCAATAAGTCCATCTACATACTTGGCTATAGCCCTGATATACTGCACTAGGTGTCGATCTGCGTACTTGATTACACCCCTGATATACTGCACTAGGTTTTCATCTGCGTACTTGATTACACACCTGATATACTGCACTAGGTTTCCATCTGCGTACTTGATTACACCCCTGATATACTGCACTAGGTGTCCATCTGCGTACTTGGTTACAGCCCTGATGTACTGCACTAGGTGTCCATCTGCGTACTTGGCTACAGCCCTGATATACTGCACTAGGTGTCGATCTGCGTACTTGATTACACCCCTGATATACTGCACTAGGTTTTCATCTGCGTACTTGATTACACACCTGATATACTGCACTAGGTTTCCATCTGCGTACTTGATTACACCCCTGATATACTGCACTAGGTGTCCATCTGCGTACTTGGTTACAGCCCTGATGTACTGCACTAGGTGTCCATCTGCGTACTTGGTTACAGCCCTGATGTACTGCACTAGGTTTCCATCTGCGTACTTGATTACACCCCTGATATACTGCACTAGGTTTTCATCTGCGTACTTGGCTACAGCCCTGATATACTGCACTAGGTGTCCATCTTTGTACTTGGCTACAGCCCTGATATACTGCACTAGGATTCCATCTGTATACATGGTTACATCCCTGATATACTGCACTGGGAGTCCATTACTTGGCTACAGCCCTGATATACTGCACTAGGATTCCATCTGTATACATGGTTACATCCCTGATATACTGCAATGGGAGTCCATTACTTGGCTACAGCCCTGATATACTGCACTAGGAGTCCATCTGTATACTAAGTTACAACCCTGATATACTGCAATGGGAGTCCATTACTTGGCTACAGCCCTGATATACTGCACTAGGAGTCGATCTGTATACACGGTTACATCCCTGATATACTGCACTGGGGGTCCATTACTTGGCTACAGCCCTGATATACTGCACTAGGAGTCCATCTGTATACATGGTTACATCCCTGATATACTGCACTGGGAGTCCATTACTTGGCTACAGCCCTGATATACTGCATTAGGAGTCCTTCTACATACTTGGCTACAGCCCTGATATACTGCACTAGGTGTCCATCTGCATACTTGATTACACCCCTGATATACTGCACTAGGTTTTCATCTGCGTACTTGATTACACCCCTGATATACTGCACTGGGGGTCCATTACTTGGCTACAGCCCTGATATACTGCAATAAGTCCATCTACATACTTGGCTATAGCCCTGATATACTGCACTAGGTGTCGATCTGCGTACTTGATTACACCCCTGATATACTGCACTAGGTTTTCATCTGCGTGCTTGATTACACACCTGATATACTGCACTAGGTTTCCATCTGCGTACTTGATTACACCCCTGATATACTGCACTAGGTGTCCATCTGCGTACTTGGTTACAGCCCTGATGTACTGCACTAGGTGTCCATCTGCGTACTTGGCTACAGCCCTGATATACTGCACTAGGTGTCCATCTGCGTACTTGGCTACAGCCCTGATATACTGCACTAGATGTCCATCTGCGTACTTGGCTACAGCCCTGATATACTGCACTAGGTGTCCATCTGCGGACTTGGCTACAGCCCTGATATACTGGACTAGGAGTCACTCTACATACTTTTTTACACCCCTGATATACTATACTAGGAATCCATCTACATACTTAGTTACAGCGCTGATATTCTGCACTAGGTGTCCATCTGCATACTTGGTTACAGCCCTGATATAATGCATATATATACTGAACCGCAAAAGAAACGTCACCCCAAATAACATTGCAATAAAAGTTGTGATTTAAATATCTGGGTAATTTTTGTCAAAGTTTCTAAACTTTAACGTTACCTTGTCCGGAAAAATTTGATCCCCTATTTCTTGCCCTATAAAAACCCACCCAGATCGGATAACATTCATTCGCTATTGAATTGCTACCACATGCCAAGATTCACAAGAAATCAGCAACAACAAGCTCTTGGACGATTATAAGCTGGACAAACCGCCCGGAATGTAGTCAATGCATTTCAAGTCCACATAAGGACCATATGCAGGCTCCAGCAACGGTACCAGACCACCAACATTACAGATGACCGACCACGTAGTGGAAGTACAAGGGTCACCACCGTTACTGTATCTCAACAGCAGATGGCAGAGAAAGAGTCTGGCTACCCTGTGGGGAACGTTATTCTGAATCGTGGGCTGGTCCAAGCACCATGGTGTGGGGTGGAATTGGTCTTGCACAGAGGGTCAGCCCTGTGGTCTTCCAGAACATCGGTTCAGAGAGAGGCAATGGTGTCACAGCAGCGCGGTACTTTGATCAAGTCTTGAGCCCACACGCCATACCTCATTTAGCACATTGCCGCAACCACAAGTTTCAGCATGATAATGCCCATGCCCACACTGCGAGAGCAACAAGAGACTACCTCCAGAAGCATCAGAACCATACAGTGGCCTGCCCTCAGTCCCAATTTAAATCCCATTGAGCACCTGTGGGACGAGATTCAAAGACGTCTGAATGACGTCCAACCAAGGTCGACAACTGCAGCTGAACAGCGTCAGGCATTCCTCAGAGTGTGGGCTCAAGTGCCTATGGCCTTCATCAACCGCCTCATCCATTCCATGTATCGACGTTGCACAGCAGTCATCAATGCACACGAGATACTGACTTGTGATGCAATTTTCTCAGAGACTAGTATTGTGTTTCACTTTAAGAACATTTGACACTTTAATTTCAACCTAGATGATCAGTTTTTCCAAGTTTCATCTTTTTAATGTCTCAAAGTATGTTTACAGTGTTTGGACAAATAAGGTTTCTCATATATCTATCCATGGTGATGTTTCCTTTGTGGTTCAGTATATAAAAGCACAGTAAAGTTCTAACTATCAGGCACAATATGGCAAAAAGTAAATAAGAGTAGTAACATTGAACACACAGTTTTGATTGGCTAGCGCTTTCAATCAGGCTATTTCAATAGGCCATAACTTTTGCACATATTTATGAATGAAATGTTGCTCTTTTTGAAACAGTGTGGGTTCACGATCAAAACTAAGCTTATATAGCGGGAATACTAGCTGAACAACAAACCAACCAACATGTGGAATAGTGGAGTGGAACAGTACGGTACGTTGTGTGGCTGCATTATTTGTGAACGGTGAAGGTTTTTTCTTTATTTTAATTTAAGTTCTGTCTTTCCGATATACTTTTAATGGCACCCACAACAAACAGTCGCGTAAATAACATTTCTGGTATCACAAGTCATATTTTGTTTTGCACTAAATTTAGTGTTCTTTGTAATTTGGACTGAACAGAGAAAGGTCTGCAGAAAACGAGTGGGGAACAATTTTACGCTTGTATCTACCTTCAACCAAAAATCATGTAAAAACATTGTCCATGGTTTAAGTACTGTGATTCAAAATAGCCAGTTATCACTGAACCATGGACAATGTATTAAGGTATTTAGCAAATACAAAATTATCAACAGCCAAAGACAACTAAAAATCTTCGAGATTTTTTTTAAAGTCCTAAATTTGATTCTGTTGTGGTTACTTCATAGGTTTCTCCGTGTGGTGACAAACGTTGCCTTTCTTGCAACAATATAATTGAAGGCTGTTCAGTCCAAATTACAAAGTACACTAAATTTACTGTAAAATAAAATATGACATATGGTTTGATGTATTTTAGGTTTTTAAATTGCTTGATACCTTTATCTATAATTCATCTCTTGGCTCTTTAGCTAAAACTAGAATTTATTTTTGTTATCCTAATCCAACACCAAACGGATTGATTAAAACTTGATTTCCTACCTTTAGCTGCTGGTCAATGGATGGCTTGTTTACTTCATCTGTATGACAGAACTGCTATCTGCTCTCAGCCTTGGGGCCACCACAGTGGCTTCACCATCAGAATTAGACACTGTGTTAGCTGCAACCTGGCCTCTGGGGAGCAGTGATGAATTGGCGTGGTACCTGCCTACTGAACAGGAGACAATGCATAATAGCTGCCATTTCTCAGTCTCGAGAATTATATTTATTATTATATAATCTGACAATTGGCTTTATCCGACACTAGTGATGGGAACAGATTAAATCAGTGCTATTTAGACCCGTTAATCCAAGAATCCGACACTGACACACCTAATTTGCAACGAATTACTGAAATCACTTGTTAATCAGTCTTGTTAATCCGTGGTCATCTGCCCGCGAGTACACAACCCGTGTTTTCATGCGAGATGAGTTGGCTGGTAGCTGCACATTACAACGGCTGCAGAGATAAACTTGCTTAACATTAAACAATATATGCTTTAGATAAAGAAAACAGGATTAATCACCTGCTTCATTTTTTTACGAGTTTGTATCGGTACCTATCGTGTAGTTATCTGATTTTCGATCATGAACGTTGATACTACTTAATTTCGTTTAACCGACATACTCAGTAATCCGACATAATCATATGCAACCAACCATATCGGATTAATGGGACTTGACAATACTATGGTAATACTGTAATAATTCTATGGTAATACTATAATAATGCTATGGTAATACTATAATAATACTATGTTAATACTATATTTATACTGTTATGCTACTGTAGCTGAAACACTCAAATATTACACTTGAGGATGTCCAGTGTTTTTGTTTTCTCATTTGGGATGCTTTATGTTCATCAGTGCTAGTGACAAGGAAATAACATCAGCTCTCGGCCAGACATATCACAGGATGATTTCTTATATGGGATTTGTTCCACGCAGGTTAACAATCACGACATGATTTTGAGGTGTGACGGAAAAGTCTTTAAATAGCTAGTATGAACCTAGCTGTAGCACCTTTAGAATGGTATTATGATAGAAGGACTGCCTTTGGCTTTATTCTACAGTGTGGAGGACTAACATTACGACTCTTTCCTAGCTTCAGTGGCTTTCATGTTGGATGAGATGAGGTGAAATGGGGTTTAATGTCATGTTCAAGATTATTGCTCTTATGTAGCAACTTGCATACATGTGTGTGTTTATGACTGCTTGTACTAGTCTGGACTAATGCTGTTTTATAGTGCTAGCCCACTAAGATACCATGCCATATTTTTAGCGTGCATACCCAACTCAGACATAGTATAATGACTCAAAGCCGACCAATCCTTGTTTTTTGCCAGCACCAGGCATGGTAACAACATGTACCATCTATTAACATCTTTTGGTATGACGCTAATAGGGGATTAAACCCATGACCTTCCCATCTCCGGACAGACACTCTACCACTAGACCACAGAGGCGGTTTATAGGATGTTTTTAAGGTCTGATTAGCGTGTACATGATTTGCAAATTTTGCTCACCCACGATGGGTTTTTATCATCATGATATGGTTGAAGCATCCTAAAATTGATTCTTCAGGTGAACTACAGGTCCTAGGGACTATATTCATTATTTGTGTTGTTGTAGCATTATATTACAGCAGTGGGATATTCTTAGTTTCACATTTGCCACCTGAGGTCTGTGAGTAATGTGTTAACACGAGTGAACCGTGGACACATGAGAACATCTTCACCCGCAGTGTCCTTGAATGGATGACGGAGGGACACATGTTTGATCCATGTTTTTAATCATGTGGGGCATGCTGTGCTGGCCAGCATTTCTTAATGTCTGCACTATATTTCTTGATGCTTGATCATGATGACTTCCTGGTATTGTTAACTTAGTTTCGATGTGATATTCAGTACGGCCTCCAGCCAAGGAACCCTCATTTAATTATTTTGGGCATTTAGAAATCGTCTAAGACATCAGTATTCAATTCCTTTCAAGATTGTGAAAAGGATGGATATTTTGATTTAATACTGATGAATTAGTTTGAGTAGGTCAGAAAACACATAAAATGTACTAATGTTCTTTGTTTACTAGAACACCAAGTGTCAGTCAGTTAACTTTCTCCTCAACAGATGAGGGGATGAACCTTAAACTTTGGGAGGATGTTTTGCACCACTATAGGATTTGACTGAGAAAAATGACCAAAATTCTAATTGTGAAAAATCTTTAATTTTAAGATTCATCTTCTCAATATAGCTTCAAGATCTAGGGAGCTGTGTGTTCCAATATTATGGAACTCTGTTTCTTATCAGTAAAATAAAAAGTAGATTTAAGTTTTGAAATTTCTTTTTAGAAACCACTGGGTTGGTTGTTTGCAAATGTGTTATATTTGAGACAATAGGACCCAGAGAGATGATGGTTTGTGGGAATGTATAGCACAAGGATGGGCACTTTCAAAATGTCAAATAAGAATTAAGCTGTTTTTCTTTAAACTAATACAATAAAATGTGTTTCTTTCTTATAGGCATCATTCCTTGCACTGATCTTTAGCAATTGTTATTGCTGTTTAAAGAAAATACATTTTACATCTCCGAAAATTGCGGTACAACCCAGTGATTGGAAGGCTGGTGGTTCGATGGTTTGAGTGTGTCATACCAAAAGACATTAAAAGATGGTACTGTTTGAAGCTTGACATTGAGAGAATAAAACAAGGACTGGTCGGCTCAAAGTCAATATTCTTTGTCTGAGTGGGGTATCCATGTTTTATTTGTTTATTTGTTGTTTGATACTGCACTCAGCAATATTCCAGCTTTTATGACGGCGGTCTGAAAATAATTGAGTCTGAACCAGACAATCAAGTGACTTCATGAGGATCGATCTAGGCAATTGGGATCCAATGACATGCATCAACCATGTCAGTGAGCCTGACCACTCAATCCCATTAATCGCCTTTCACGACAAGCATGGGTTGGGGTATCCACATTAAACTGCAGGATGGTATCTCAGTGGGGTAGAACTATGAAATCGGGACTATTAGTGCAGACTAGTACAAGTGCACACACACTCATGCACATGCACAAATCCCATGTCACTGAACCTCACCTTTAGCACAATTCAACACAAGGCAGTTTGTATTAGCTTCACCTAAGCCCCTGAGACATATATGTGATGCCCCTATGATATATGTGATGCCCTGTGACATATGTGATGCCCTGTGACATATGTGATGCCCCTATGATATATGTGATGCCCTGTGACATATGTGATGCCCTGTGACATATGTGATGCCCCTTTGATATATGTGATGCCCTGTGACATATGTGATGCCCTGTGACATATGAGATGCCCCTATGATATATGTGATGCCCTGTGACATATGTGATGCCCTGTGATATATGTGATTCCCTGTGATATATGTGATGCCCTGTGACATATGTGATGCCCCTTTGATATATGTGATGCCCCTGTGATATATGTGATGCCCCTTTGATATAAGTGATGCCCCTGTGATATACGTGATGCCCCTGTGATGTATGTGATGCCCCTGTGATATATGTGATGCCCTGTGATATATGTGATGCCCTTGTGATATATGTGATGCCCCTGTGATATACGTGATGCCCCTGTGTTAAATGTGGTGCCCTGTGATATATGTGATGCCCTTGTGATATATGTGATGCTCCTGTGATATATGTGTTGCCCTGTGATATATTTAATGCCCTTGTGATATATGTGATGCTCCTGTTATATATGTGATGCTTCTGTGATATATGTGATGCTCCTGTGATATATGTGATGCTTCTGTGATATATGTGATGCTTCTGTGATATATGTGATGCTCCTGTGATATATGTAATGCCCCTGTGATATATGTGGTGCCCTGTGACATATGTGGTGCCCTGTGACATATGTGATGCTCCTGTGATATATGTAATGCCCCTGTGATATATGTGATGCCCTGTGACATATGTGGTGCCCCGTGATATATGTGGTGCCCTGTGATATATGTGGTGCCCTGTGATATATGTGATGCCCTGTGATATATGTGATGCTCCTGTGATATATGTAATGCTCCTGTGACTTGATGATCATGATGAATACTTTGATCTGTTTGTTCCAGGCAAGTGGGCAGATGGGCAGCTCTCTACTGGAGTTCACCTGGGGCCTCAGGTTCCACTCAGATGTGTAAGTGTTTGTCGCAGGGAGTAATAGTGAGTTCAACTATGACACATACAATGAACTGGTGTTATGTCACTGGGTCACTGCTGAAAAACCTAATAGATAGGCATTGAATCTGTTTCACCCCAACCGGGGCTGTTTGCCACGTCAGTATGATATTGAATCTGTTCATGTAGGTTTGTACGCCAAGCGGTGCTGTTTGCCTTGTCAGTATGACATAGGATCTGTTCATGTAGGTTTGTATGCCAAGCGGTGCTGTTTGCCACGTCAGTATGACATTGAATCTGTTAATGTAGGTTTGTATGCCAAGCGGTGCTGTTTGCCATGTCAGTATGACATTGAATCTGTTCATGTAGGTTGTATGCCAAGCGGTGCTGTTTGCCATGTCAGTATGACATTGAATCTGTTCATGTAGGTTTGTACGCCAAGCGGTGCTGTTTGCCATGTCAGTATGATATTGAATCTGTGCATGTAGGTTTGTACGCCAAGCGGTGCTGTTTGCCACGTCAGTATGACATTGAATCTGTTCATGTAGGTTTGTAAACCAAGCGGTGCTGTTTTCCACATCAGTATGACATAGAATCTGTTCATGTAGGTTTGTATGCCAAGCGGTGCTGTTTGCCATGTCAGTATGACATTGAATCTGTTCATGTAGGTTTGTATGCCAAGCGGTGCTGTTTGCCATGTCAGTATGACATTGAATCTGTTCATGTAGGTTTGTACGCCAAGCGGTGCTGTTTGCCATGTCAGTATGACATAGAATCTGTTCATGTAGGTTTGTATGCCAAGCGGTGCTGTTTGCCACGTCAGTATGACATTGAATCTGTTAATGTAGGTTTGTATGCCAAGCGGTGCTGTTTGCCATGTCAGTATGACATTGAATCTGTTCATGTAGGTTGTATGCCAAGCGGTGCTGTTTGCCATGTCAGTATGACATTGAATCTGTTCATGTAGGTTTGTACGCCAAGCGGTGCTGTTTGCCATGTCAGTATGATATTGAATCTGTGCATGTAGGTTTGTACGCCAAGCGGTGCTGTTTGCCACGTCAGTATGACATTGAATCTGTTCATGTAGGTTTGTACACCAAGCGGTGCTGTTTTCCACATCAGTATGACATAGAATCTGTTCATGTAGGTTTGTATGCCAAGCGGTGCTGTTTGCCATGTCAGTATGACATTGAATCTGTTCATGTAGGTTTGTATGCCAAGCGGTGCTGTTTGCCATGTCAGTATGACATTGAATCTGTTCATGTAGGTTTGTACGCCAAGTGGTGCTGTTTGCCATGTCAGTATGACATTGAATCTGTTCATGTAGGTTTGTATGCCAAGCGGTGCTGTTTGCCATGTCAGTATGACATTGAATCTGTTCATGTAGGTTTGTATGCCAAGCGGTGCTGTTTGCCATGTCAGTATGACATTGAATCTGTTCATGTAGGTTTGTACGCCAAGCGGTGCTGTTTGCCATGTCAGTATGACATAGAATCTGTTCATGTAGGTTTGTATGCCAAGCGGTGCTGTTTGCCACGTCAGTATGACATTGAATCTGTTCATGTAGGTTGTATGCCAAGCGGTGCTGTTTGCCATGTCAGTATGACATAGAATCTGTTCATGTAGGTTGTATGCCAAGCGGTGCTGTTTGCCATGTCAGTATGACATTGAATCTGTTCATGTAGGTTTGTACGCCAAGCGGTGCTGTTTGCCATGTCAGTATGATATTGAATCTGTGCATGTAGGTTTGTACGCCAAGCGGTGCTGTTTGCCACGTCAGTATGACATTGAATCTGTTCATGTAGGTTTGTACACCAAGCGGTGCTGTTTTCCACATCAGTATGACATAGAATCTGTTCATGTAGGTTTGTATGCCAAGCGGTGCTGTTTGCCATGTCAGTATGACATTGAATCTGTTCATGTAGGTTTGTATGCCAAGCGGTGCTGTTTGCCATGTCAGTATGACATTGAATCTGTTCATGTAGGTTTGTATGCCAAGCGGTGCTGTTTGCCATGTCAGTATGACATTGAATCTGTTCATGTAGGTTTGTATGCCAAGCGGTGCTGTTTGCCATGTCAGTATGACATTGAATCTGTTCATGTAGGTTTGTATGCCAAGCGGTGCTGTTTGCCATGTCAGTATGACATTGAATCTGTTGATATAGGTTTGTACGCCAAGCGGTGCTGTTTGCCACGTCAATGATCATCCTGGTGGTGCCATGTCACAGTCTGATATCAGACCTGAATGCCGAGGTGACAGAGATGAAACTGTGGCTGGAAGGTGGGTGGCTGGCTCTGTTTGCATCAGGCTATTGACTTTCTCATGACTTCCTCCTGGCGTGAACTCTTGTACCTCACCTCCCGGAAAGTCAGCAGAACATATGTCGTTGCCTGTTTGTCCATTGTCTGTTGTCCTTCATGTCCTCAGAAGGTCAGGGTTCGATCCCTGTCCCTGTCACTAACTATCAAGACCGATGAAACCGTTAATATACTAACTATCAAGACCGGTAGATGAAAACGTTAATATACTATCTATCAAGACCGGTAGATGAAAACGTTAATGTACTAACTATCAAGACAGGTAGATGAAACCGTTAATATACTAACTATCAAGACCGGTAGATGAAACAGTTAATTTACTCACTATCAAGAGCGGTAGATGAAATAACTAATATACTAACTATCAAGACTGGTAGATGAAATAACTAATAACTAACTATCAAGACTGGTAGATGAAACAGTTTATATACTAACTATCAAGACCGGTAGATGAAACAGTTAACATACTAACTATCAAGAGCGGTAGATGAAACAGTTAATATACTAACTATCAAGACCGGTAGATGAAACAGTTAACATACTAACTATCAAGAGCGGTAGATGAAACAGTTAATATACTAACTATCAAGACCGTTAGATGAAACAGTTAACATACTAACTATCAAGAGCGGTAGATGAAACAGTTAATATTCTAACTATCAAGAGCGGTAGATGAAACAGTTAATATACTAACTATCAAGAGCGGTAGATGGAATAACTAATATACTCACTATCAAGAGCTGTAGATGAAACAGTTAATGTACTAACTATCAAGGGCTGTAGATGAAATAGTTAATATACTAACTATCAAGAGCGGTAGATGGAATAACTAATATACTCACTATCAAGAGCTGTAGATGAAATAGTTAATATACTAACTATCAAGAGCGGTAGATGGAATAACTAATATACTCACTATCAAGAGCTGTAGATGAAACAGTTAATGTACTAACTATCAAGAGCAGTAGATGAAACAGTTAATGTACTAACTATCAAGAGCTGTAGATGAAACAGTTAATGTACTAACTATCAAGGGCTGTAGATGAAATAGTTAATATACTAACTATCAAGAGCGGTAGATGAAACAATTTATGTACTTACTCACCTGTGAAGATCCGGGGTAGAATAGGTCTTCAGCAACCCAAGGTTGCTGTAATAGGCGATTGTGCTTGTCGTAAGAGGCGACTTACAGGAGTGGGTGGTCAGGCTCGCTGACTTGGTTGATGCACGTCATCGATTCCAATAGCGTGGATCGATGCTCATGATGTCAATCACTGGATTGTGTGGTCCAGACTCGATTATATACAGACCGCCGTCATATATCTGGAATATTGCTGAGTGCTGCGTTAAACAACAAACAAACTATGAAGAGCGGTAGATGAAACAAATAATATACTCACTATCAAGAGTGGTAGATGAAACAAATAATATACTTACTATCCAATGTGGTAGACGAAACAATCAATATACTAACTATCAAGAGCAGACTCACATGTTCAGAGCTTCTTTCACACACTACATATGCATCACAATCCAATATGAAATTGAGTTTTTCTTCAATAATATTAGTATAACACATCCTGTAAATTTGGTTGACAGTTATGGCTTCTTTATGTCTGATATTATAACACAGCGGCACTTCATGCAATCTCAACAAACATATCTTCGTAATTCCCTAACACTGATATTTGTACATTATGTAACATAATATACAACAGTCGGTAATGACGATACAGTGGAATCTGTCCAATTCAGACTCAGTACGAACTGGTAAAAAAAGTCTGGTTTACGGCAAGGTCCGGATTACAAAAAGTTGGACTGAACACAAAACGAAAAGCAATGATATATGTATCCAGGACAGCCATACTTGTCACTCATGACACTGAGTTAATCTGATTAAGTTGAGTTTCTTATCAACAGGTGAGTACATTCTAATTAACTTAGTGGGCAACAAAGTGTTACGATCAATAGGGTTACATGCAAGATTAGCATTGTTGTTTAAGATGACAATGACTTGAGTTTACTTCAAAGTGAGAGAACATCCGGGTCCGGTCTGGTCCATCTGATTCAGGCAGCTTCTTTTCCATAGTAAATTGATTGTTGGCACCATAATTTTAGTCTGAAGTGCAGAAAGTCCAAATTTGAGAGTTGTATGTCAGTTTGAGCAATGATAATTTTGGACCAACTTTCCCCCCCGAAATCTGAATTTGAGAAAGTCTTGATTTGAAAAGATTTTGCTGTATATTCTTATAATGTGCAAGTCAGTGGAATCATTGTCCACATTCTTTTAATCTCTGCCTGAACATCCACAGAAAATAGGAAATGATTTCAGTACCTTGACTAACCCGTGCAAATCCCAAACCATACCGATATAAACAACAATCTTACACACAATCCTCATGTCTTAATTCCTTTCCTGAATCAATATACTTAATAATTAGGTAACATTGCATGGCATAGCAATCAGAAGACATTTTAAACAATTTACAAAATACTTATTTATGCCTTAAATGCTTAATAACCGAGTTTTATTGGCTTTTGATACAAGAATATTTCTAAACACTTTCCTTGACAACCTAGTCGAAAACATAACACCTGAATAATTATTATAAGTTGCTGTTTTTAGTGGCTCTCCATCAAAGGACCACTTCTGATAATGTTGTAAATAACTCCAATCTTACCTATTCTTACCAGTAAGCGCCATGATTTTCAATATTTACATAAAATGTCAATTTTGGGGGGCAAACGAACAACAGTGTCATCAACAATATATTATCATCAGCATACAATAATAACACTACAGTGGCCCCAAATATTCTTCTATTCTTCAAAATATCTGCCATAAAATATCCGTCAATAATATATCTCTATCATTATTAACATAATCAAAGCTTCCTTTTTTTGTGTAGTGGTAGAATAACAGCTTTAGCCATTCATATGGAAAATTACCTGTTGAGCACATATTATTATACATAACTGACAAATGTGGAATTAAAACAGTACTGCCGATTTGTATCATCTCAGCCTTAATACCATCTTGTTGCGGCATTACCCTGCTTAGATCTTTCACAGATGATTTAATCTCTTCCTGTGTAATATGATTATTAAGAATATTATCGACATCATAACCAGTATGGAAATTAAACAACTGCTCATTATGATAATTCATAACATATCTACCTGCTGCTTTAAACACATATGTGACATCATTCTGTTGTTCAAACACTCCATTATGTTTCAGGAATGTAGTTGTTTGTCAATTATACATAATCTTGAAACAACATTTTAGTTAATTTGCTCTTGGAATAGACTTAACTATTTTAAAAGTATTTTGACATGTGAATATATTCAAATTTTGTCGGAAAACATGTGTCTCCATTGGGATTCAAACCCACATTGTTTGATTTGAAGACGTCTGATGATCGACCTCAGCTGTGGTTACACATGATGATATGGATTGAAATTAACTAGTAAATATTTTCAAATCCAATAACTCCAATCTTGGATTGGCGCACGCGCAACAGTGACAGAGAACACATTCCTTGTTCATCAGGCAAGGGCAACTCACACAGAATAAATACAGGCTTCAAAGAGTTCTGGTTTATTTTTCAAATATTTTCCACAAGAGAATGTTTTATCAAAGTGTTACTTGGACATTCCCCTCTACGTAATATCCGAGTCCAGAGGTATATCAGTAAGGTTTAAGATCATCTGATATAATCAGTTGATGTTCCTAGCTAACCCTTGATGTTTATGTGACAGGGGTAATGGAGAGAGATCCTGACTGTGAGTGCCGGGAGCTTGCCCTCCAGGCCCTGGTGCTGTTGGGCAATGTGATGAGACAGGTATGTTAACTCAAAACCGGGAGTGAAGGTCAAGTCTGTCAAGTTCTGCTTGTCTTTGGTGTTAGAATCCATTTCTGCACATGACACAGCCATGTTTCTTCAACATGGTATATATCATATGAACCTTGAGTTCAAACCTACCTACTATGTAGCCTGAAACCAACGTACTATGAAAATCTATTCCTCGAAAAAACACAGATATTTTCTAATCTTTGTTGCGGCAGCCTGCAACTTAACATAGAAAAACTTCCGTACAGTGGACCCCCAGTACTTTACAATGACCATCTTCCCAAGGCAAGAGAGTTAACTGACTTTAAAAGTCCAGTTTCCACCCTTGCCGAACTAGGCTGGAATTATGGAGTTATATTTTGGCTGGACTAACGAGTCTATGCATGGTCCAACGAAATTGACATCTGGTTTGTAAACTGCAGTGCAGATTTCGGTCAATTGCAGGATTGCAAAGCATGTGTACCGCCAACTCGATGGCAACAAATATATTTCAAATCCTTTCATGTTTTTAATCAAGGAGCTCACATGCTTTGATGCACTTTGCAAAGTAAGACCTATTTTATCACCATGTAGATTTTGATTATCGATCAGATCATCTTGACTACTCATCGCCATTTTGTTTGAAGCAAATGCAAGTGATACTAGAGGTGGAATCTGATTGGTCAATAGTAGGGACATAGAAGGGACATAACTCATAATAGCCACTGGTCGCGCTACGATCAGGCCCAGAAATCAAGCCTCGTTCGGCAAGGTTTGAAACCGAAGTTTTACAGTCAGTTAACTCCCTTGCTTCAGGAAGATGCTCAACGACAGGGTGTGCCTGTTCAGCACAGACAAGACTGAAAGTGAAATACACTTCCTCATGGACTGTGACATGTACACTGATTTAGGATATGACATGTTTACAGAAATGCAGTTGAATGACATGCTCCCATCTCTTAACAACATCACACGAAAAGTTCACACACCTCTTAAATAAACCAGATATATTTTTATGAAATCTGCAATACCATTTCAACCATGGATTGATATCAACTGCTTTCTTGACTGTTTCATATGTACTATGTTACTGCTCTTGTTAGAATTATATATACCCAACTGCAAAAGAAATGTCACCATAGATAGATATATGAGAAATCTTATTTGTCCAAACACTGTAAACTGATCATCAAGGTTGAAATTAAAGTGTCAAATGTTCTTAAAGTGAAACACAACACTAGTCTCTGAGAAAATGGCATCACAAGTCAGTATCTCGTGTGTCCTCCATGTGCATTGATGACTGCTGTGCAACGCCGATACATGGAATGGATGAGGCGGTTGATGAAGGCCATAGGCACTTGAGCCCACACTCTGAGGAACGCCTGACGCAGTTCAGCTGCAGTTGTTGGCCTTGGTCTGACGTCATTGAGCCGTCTTTGAATCTCGTCCCACAGGTGATCAATGGGATTAAAATCGGGACTGAGGGCAGGCCACTGCATGGTTCTGATGCCACTCTGCTGGAGGAAGTCTCTTGTTGCTCTTGCAGTGTGGGCTCGGGCGTTATTATGCTGAAACTCGTGGTTGCGGCGAAGTGTCAAATGAGGTATGGCTTGTGGTCTCAAGACTTGATCAATGTACCAAGCTGCTGTGACACCATTGCTTCTCACTGGGACAATGTTCTAGAACACCACAGGGCCGACCCTCTGTGCAAGACCAATTCCACCTCACACCATGATGCTCGGACCACCCCATGAGTCTCTCTCAACAACACAAGCACCTGAGTAGCATTCCCCACGGCGTCGCCAGACTCTCTCTCTGCTGTTGAGATACAGTAATGGCTCTAGTCTTAGAAGACAACTCTTCTCCACTGCTGGTGGCGCCAATGCTGGTGCTGTGTTGCCCACTGTCAGAATGGGTCCTCGGTGTGGCCTGTGACAGTGGAGGTGTCTGTTCATCAATCACTGACACACGGTATCCGCACTAATGTGTCGCTGGTGTGTCCCCATGGTCTGTCGAGCAGTTTCCACAGCAGTAACAAAGCAATCTTGAAGATGCTGTCGCACAATCTGACGATCCTGATGTCAGGTGGTGACCCTTGGTCTTCCACTATGTGGTCGGTCATCTGTAGTGTTGTTGGTCTGGTACTGTTGTTGGAGCCTGTATATGGTCCTTATGTGGACTTGAAATGCCTTGGCTACTTGCGGGGCGGTTTGTTCAGCTTGCAATCGTCCAAGGGCTGGTGACGTTTCTTTTGCGGTTCAGTATGTATGTAGTAGTATTTGTAGGAACTGATAATATTATGTGTATTTCTAAGTTTGTATGGTGGTGAATGTGGGTGTGGTGAATGTGGGTGTGGTGCATGTTGTATGTGCTGCTGCCTAGTGAGAACTAGAGACCCTCCAGTTCAAAACCTAAACGAACCGATGCAGGCACTGCATCAGGAATGGAAGAGGATACCAATGTTGAAACTTGGACGTCTGATCTGCAGCATCAGGAGAATGTCCTCCGTGAGAGGGATGGACACTCCAGATGCTGACTGCAGAGTCATTGCTGATTCCTAGGTTGACAATAATCTTTCATTGCATGGTGTGGTGTGAGCTGGTGTTGAAATGAACGGTTTTCGATTTCTTCGCAGAACACCAATAAATTGGTACTGATTGCTATTGTCAGCTTCATTATTTGTGTGATGGTGTTGCCAGGCGTTGTGTTTTTCAGTATACTACTCTGGTGTTGTGAATGTCAATGAATCACACCAGTTTTGGGGTGTGTGAGTGCATAAAAAGACATGCGCGTGCATGGCATGTGTACTTGTATATGTGTGCATTTGTGTGTGTGTGCTTGTGATTGTGTTGGTCTTTTGCATCTTGTGCTAGTCTATGGTATGCATGTGTGTATATATGTAAGTATCACCAGTGTGTGAGGTGGGTATGTGTGTCTGCAGGAATTACTGTATTGTCTGCGGTTGAATGATGTTTATACTAAACTGTTTTCATTGCTTCTACTAGTCTCTCATAACATTCAGGTTGCTTCTGTACATGTTAGTTCATGATGGCGTCATAGTTTGTCCAAATCATTGTGTTAAATTTGGTTAAATTTAGAAATAAAAGTTAAATTGCAAGTTTTAACATCATTTTCTCAAGAACACAACCTTTATAAGTGTTAACCCCCCGGCATATAATGGCGGGGTATATAGTTGATTCCTCGTTTGTCTGTCCATAATCATTTTGTTTCCAGAGCACAGCTCGAAAACTGTTCAATATTTTTCAACAAAACACAGCAGATATATCTAACAGATCCTGAACTGGTGCTGTTTGCTATTTTTATGGATTTTGGGCATTTTTATTTTTCTTGACCTCCATGGAATCAATTTGTACATACGGTAGCCTCTTAAGGGGATGGATTTCTTTTCCAGAGCACAACTCAAAAACTTTTAGCAGATATAGCCTTTTGCTATTTGTGGATGCTTGGCTTTTATATATTTCTCGATTTCGAAACCATTTGGACTTAGTCTCAAAAAAGGGGTAAGGGATTTTCAAGTTGTGCTTCTGAAACGACAGCTAACACGGGGAGCACAACTTGAAAACTATGAAAGTCTTTTCATCCAAATCTGGTACATGTATTAACCAAGGGCTGAAGTGGTGCCTTCTGCTTTTGAGGAATTGTATAAAAATTAATTTTTTTCCTGTTTCCATGGGAATAGTTTTGACTTTACTTCTATTCATAGTGATGTGTTTGTCCGGACCATATCTCGAAAACTGATAGGTTTCTTTCATGACACTTTACGCACACAAAACAAGTGTGTCAAATGGTGCCTTTTGCTACTTAGGGGTGTTTAGAATTTATATTTTTTCCGTTTCCATGGCAACAAGTTTGACTTTGACTCTGTTCATATTGATATTGGTGTGTACCTGACATATTAATACAAAGTTCTGAATCCCAATTCCATGGTATTGTTTTGATAGCTCAAAACTACTCTTGTTTATGGACAGACAGATAAGATGGAAATTCTCCCTTCAAGTAACAGTCAGATGAATTAATCTTTTTAATTTGTTGGGACCGGGGGGATTGGGCATCTTCTCATGACTCTTGTTAAATTCTAAATAAAACTGTAATATAGAGTATATATATATATATTCAATATGGGGAAATGTCCATGTAAGGAAAGGTCAGTGTGGGGTATTGTGGGAGTGGGGAATAGTCAAACACTCTTGCCAAATATACATTGGACTTTAGTTACAGTCAAATGATTTGTTCTTTCAAATTTGTTTGGCCTAGGGGGACTGGTCAACTTTTGGGGACTGGTCATCTTCTGATGACTCTTGTCTACTTTCTGAAATTTTATATCAGATACAGCTGATTAAACTATTATGTCACTGAAACTTCATGTGGGTTGATCTTTTGTGAAACAGTTGATATGAATGTAGTAAATTATGTTAAGTTGACGGCTTTGTTGACATTTGGAACTGTTGACTACATCTCCAGGTGAGCTGCAGTGCAGTGGCTCAATTTTGAATTTTTTCTCAGAAATTTTTACCCAAATGTTTTCATAATCTGTGTGGGTGTTAGCACCAATATATGTTGTACTGATAGTTTTGAGTTGAAAGTTTAACCTTTGTAAATGGAATTGGGAAAAATGTTATGTTATTGCACCAGCTTGACATGTGGAATATTCTAATTTAAACTCGTAGCAGTGTTTAAAATTAAGCCTGAAAGTCAAAGGACCTGTCATAACCCTAATGTTGAATGTTTGTTACTGCATGAGGGTGTTAAATACCTCATAACCTGTGTTGCCCTACAGGAGTTCCATGTGGAAACACCAGTTACATGACCTGGACAAGGAACGGCTGAAGATGGTTGATGAAGAAGGTAACAGTCCCCCTGTTGCATGCTGGGAAAGTCGATCCCCTGTCAGCAGGACCAGATCAGACTCACCTCTTTGTGAAGGTGACAGGGTCAAGGTGAATCAAGAGATCCTGAGGTGGCCTGCCAAACACATTACTTATCATACATTTAAAATGATGAGAAACTTGCTGTATGAAATAAACTTGATATTAAACAAAAAACCTATTTTGTTGTTTGTCAAATCTGCATAAAGACCCCTCTGGGTCTTCTATCTTCAACATGCAACAGGATCGTTCAGCTCATGGCCCAGTTACCCTTGAGAGTGCCAGGAATGGTTGTGTGTTTGAATCCAGCATTCACTGGACCAAAAGCAGGAGTTTATACCATTGAAACAAACCCAAAACAGGAGGAAATGCATGCAAAGAACAGATTTGCGATATGAACAGACTGCGGGCATTTATTGCATATAAAGCTACGATCATGTATCATTATCATTCACATTGGGTATTGATACTTTTTGGTGTATTCAGTATTTTATTACTTTCTTCCATTCTGTTGGGTTTTGTAAACGTGTAGGGGCGGTCAGGTAGCCTAGTGGTTAAAGCGTTCGTTCATCACGATGAAGACCCGGTTCGATTCCCAACATGAGTACAATGTGTGGAGCCCATTTCTGGTGTGCCCCGCCGTGATATTGCTGGAATATTGCTAAAAGCGGCGTAAAATCATACTCACTCACTCACTTGTTTACCGGTGAATGGCCTTTTTGAAAACTAAGTGTACTTCTATTTTCTTTTAGGGTTCAACTTCTAACTTATATGTGTTTCGTCACAACAGTGCAATATGTCTAAGTTCATAAGCGAGATCTGTGCATTAATCACTGCGGTAGAGTTCTTGTATACACGATGCCTGCATTCAGTCAGTAAGAAGAGAACTGTAAACACATTTATGAACGCTACATTGGGTAACTAGCACTAGCACTTGTACGAAAGCAACTCAAATTTAAATGGGTTCTGGTGACTTACAAATATAGTTTGCGTATTGTACGCAGCTTATCTGTAGCCCCGGAGAAGTATGAATAGATTAACATTTTGTACAGATCCCTCCCCTCCTTCCTCTTCTTCCCTTCCTTCACCTACCCCATGGATTACTGGATAATATTTTGCCGAATACGACATCACCCGAGCACATGGCACATACAAATGCACATGCACGTGCACACATGCTGGCACTCACGTTATAGTGAAGCACTATTGTAGCCTAGACACAGTCCATAAAATCAAGCTCTTATCAAACATCATAATTAATGTTGATCAGTTTACATTCAAACATTTCACAAATTCAACCATGTTTAGGGAAGTGAATATTATGTAAGTGTGTGACATTTCACTAATAAAGAAAACAATTCACAAGATAACGGGACGCCCATCTTCACTTTACTTGGTTAATGCGGTCCATAATCCTCAAGAACAATCGCCGCAAATAGTTAGGCGACTGATTGTTGATACGGCGTTAAACAATTAAATTATGTAACATACTAAATAAATACAAATATAAAGCATGTTGCAATCACTCATGTGTTTCTGCACTGTAGCTAAGATACGAACAAGAGACCTGTAAGTTGATATGATGGACATCGTGTTCGTTGAGAACTCTGCCATCAGGGTAATGTCTTTAAAAAGTAGGTGACGCATAGGAGAGACTCTATAGTTAGAACGGAGTGTTGGAGTTATGAAGCATGATCTATGTCAGTATTTGTAAGGAGACAGATGTTATATTTGATGGACCAGATAACAGGTTAAAAAGTAATGTGCAATAACGGGAACTGTGATAATTATGTTTTCTGAGGTGATTAAACATGGGTGTGCGTTAACAAACACCATAACATTCTTTCCCTGATCACAAGTAATCTCAGCTAGTAATAATAATAGTAATATAGTAATAGCATTGTCCATTGTAGGATTCTGCTTATATCATTAGCATGGATGTAGAAAAGTCATGAGAACAGGTTTTTGCGAAAGGTTCAGGGTATCCTGCCCCACCATTGGCAGACATGCGAAGTCAATAGTTTTCCTAAAAAAGCACGGGAACATATGGTACAAATCTAAATAGGGAATTGCATGGGACATAATTCCATGCGATACTTCTGTGAAAGTAACATAATTATCCAATTATACTGCGAAACTTAGCTTTCATCCCCACCCCTAACACCCAAAACAAACGTAACATGAAACACACACACTTTCACACTGCATCTATATCAGTATATCAGGATAATGCTTGAAAGGAAAGTTAAGTCTTTTTTTTAACAATATTGTTATATATGTGAATAGCTTCAATATTAGGCGGGAAGATATAAACATTCACTAACTGCACAGTAACATGCATGAAATATCTTTAATAATTAAGTAAGTGTATATCTAATTAGTGTGTGTATGACAGATACATGTCAAATCAGCAAGTGGGAATGAGGTCTTTAACACATCTGTTTTGTCATGTATCAGGCGTTATAAATCTTATTTGATAATATCGTCAAACCCACACATGTAGATAGTAATTGTACTATGATTATCTGAATATTGTATCATTTTACTCCAAATAAATCTTAAACGTTTCATTCTTAATTCCAAACAAGTGTAAGTTGCAAACATTATTATTATGAGCCTCAGGTCATGAAATAATTTGAACTCTTGAATTACCACTTCAATGGCTGCAGTATGCAAATATTGGCGAATGAGATAATCCGAACTGTTATATTTGGACTTTTATTTTCGAAATATTAGTTCTTGATATGCATGACGTAGTAGTTGCCTTCAGGTACACAGTCTATGCTATTTCAGTATTACAACTTCAACGGACAATTCATAGACATTGAAAAGTAATTTTCGTAATTCCAATACAATATAGACATGCAAAAGAGGATAAGAAAAATGTTTTCTATGAGACAAGCAAGAATCTACAAGAATACATGCGATATGAACTTGAAAAATACAGAAAAACATTAAGAAGAAAACATTTATGTGCCATAGTCAACTGAACTAAATACATCCGCCTACATTCTTTTGAAGAGAAACCGCGATTGTACTGAGCTGAGTTTGAAGGAGAACCAGGAAAGACAATCGCATGTTAGGAATTGTGATCTGGAGGAATAGATTGGAACAAATACGTGATATTGTTATGGTTGAGGTACGATGTTACAAATTCCCTTATAAGGGAATACATGTTGTTCCCCCGGATAGTTCCATACACGTGTTCCAAACATCCTCTTATTTTGTAGAAACTGGAGAAATGTTCCAAGCAACCTCTTATTCTGTAGAAACTGGAGAAATGTTCCAAGCAACCTCTTATTCTGTAGAAACTGGAGAAATGTTCCAAGCAACCTCTTATTCTGTAGAAACTGGAGAAATGTTCCAAACAACCTCTTATTCTGTAGAAACTGGAGAAATGTTCCAAACAACCTCTTATTCTGTAGAAACTGGAGAAATGTTCCAAACAACCTCTTATTCTGTAGAAACTGGAGAAATGTTCCAAACAACCTCTTATTCTGTAGAAACTGGAGAAATGTTCCAAACAACCTCTTATTCTGTAGAAACTGGAGAAATGTTCCAAACAACCTCTTATTCTGTAGAAACTGGAGAAATGTTCCAAGCAACCTCTTATTCTACAACAGGTAGTGAAGTATGGCAGTAGATGTTATGTCTGCCAACGATTTAGAAGGACGATAGGAGTAAGATCGGAAATTTATAAGTTGACGTTTAGGAACATTTATGCGTATATATATATATACTTGCCAAATGGTATCATTATCAAAATTTGTACCCCTTTTGGTCCTGTTGAATAAACAAAAATAAAACTTGAAAATTTAAACTTTTAGTGATTTAACAAGACACATCTAAACTTAACAATTAGTTGGGTAAATTATGCCAACACAAAGAAACATAATTTTGAAATATTTCAAATATACTGGAGAATCAGTGGAAATCTATTGTCCTTGGTGTAACCATTATAGTTACCGATCTTTTGCAGAAATAAAAATAAATACAATATTTCTTTCGGTGTGTTATTGTAAAACTAATATTTTACCTCTGCCTAGAAAAGAAAAGTAATCTCACTTTAATATCACCACGTTTTAAAACCTGGATTATCACTCTTTGTGAGAAATAAAAAGAAAAATTGATAATTTACTCTTCTCTGTGTCCCACACATTACCAAAATGATCGATATAATTTCAGTATTCTGTTTTTAATGAACATGTTCTATGTACTTATTGACAATCATGCTATGCATTGTGTGTTTCCCTGAATCATTTTCAGAATTTCCTCTGGTAATACCAAAGACAACATTTGGTTACACCAAAGACAAGGTGATAACACCAAAGACATTACCATTAGTCATGATAATTTTTCTTTAACATGACAATAATCTATCAATAGGAAATGCTTGGTGTTACCTTTTTCCAATTTGAATAACAGTTGACTCAGAAACAATTTTCTCCATGGAAGATAGCAATTGATATGATAAGAGGGCATTCATTTACCTTCTTCCTACACAACGATGGATAACTCTAACAACTAATTAAACAAATGGTTACACCAAGGACAGGAACCTTTTAGACCGGCATGCTTTGCTTATTTTTCATTATTTAAAGATAGGAACATAGAGGAAACTGATGTGTCTTTTATAGATTCTAATCCCATTAGTAAAATAACAACATAAAAACTCACGTATATGACATAAAATCTGAAATATAATCACTGAAAAGTGAGTGAGTGAGTTTGGTTTGACGCCACTGTTAATTACCCAATGTAGCGTTCACAAATGTGTTTACAGTTCTCTTCTTACTGACTGAATGCAGGCATCGTGTATACAAGAACTCTACCGCAGTGATTAATGCACAGATCTCTATAATGAACTTGGACATATTGCACTGTTGTGACGTAACACATATTAGTTAGAAGTTGAAACCTAAAAGAAAATAGAAGTGCACTTAGTTTTCAAAAAGGTCATTCACCGGTTAACAAGTGAGCGAGTGAGTGAGTATGATTTTACGCCGCTTTTAGCAATATTCCAGCAATATCACGGCAGGGGACACCAGAAATGGGCTTCACATACTGTACCCATGTCGGGAATCTAACCCGGGTCTTGGGCGTGTCGAGCGAACGTTTTAACCACTAGGCTACCCGACCGCGATTTGGAAGGGGCGGCACAACACGGGGTCGTCGAG